TATGATTTTTTTTTAAAAATCTATTTGTTTATCGAGCAGCTGCTGGGGGGGGTCAGTTGATGACGCTACCGTAACTGTGGGTATATGACGCACAGGAGGAAGCCGCGCTCAGTGTTTCCGCTGCAGCAGAGACGTCGGTCACGTCAAAAAAAAAGAAAATGAAAATGTGGAGAGTCCAGACGAACTGAGGCCGGAGACTCTCCGTCGAACTACGAACGTCTCCTCCGAGCAGCTCGGTGTCTGGACGGGTGTTACTATCCGGAGCTCATACCAGAACACCGGAAAGTTTCGGGGACGTTTGGAGGTGAACTCGCCCGCCTGGTTTCGCGGTGGTTTGAGGAAGCAGCCGCTCGGCTAACCGCTGAACTAGCTCCCCGCTAGAGATGGGCACCAGAGCCAGCCGCCTCCAGGAAGACCCGGCTCCCTCTGCCTTCGGGAAAGATGGCACCAAGCGGGATTCCTACCGGAGACCCCGCCTCGCCAGACCCACCAGCCTCATGGTCGACTTCTCCGGAAGCTTCGAGGACACGGAGGCCAACCGGAGCCGATCGGAGGAGGGCAGCGACTCGGACCTGGGGCAGCACGGGGCGAGCGCCGACGGCAGCCCCGCCGACCACCACAGCATCCCGTCCTCCGGCGTCAGCCAGGCGTCACCTGCGGACGACAACAGCGAGGGGAAACCCGAGGAGGACGGGAACACAAGCCCGGAGGCTCCCGTCGACGCGGAGCATCAGCCCGGGGAGGAGACAGGCCGCACGCCCCACCGCACTTTTTCCGAGCGGCTGCCCGGGAATCGGCACTCTTCGAGCCGCAGCGTTGGCGCAAGATCCGCCCGGGTCCGGGGCACACACCAGCGGCCGGTGTCAGAGGCATGGATCGGCCTTTACCGTGTCAACAACCGACATGGCAGTGAGTTCACACAGTTCTACTCTCTATACATGACATTTTATTCACAACACTTCCCACAATGTCTGTCTGGGCTCCATCGGTACTTGTTGGGGTGGAAATGAAAGCAGATCACATCCAGGGACATGTTCGGCAGCGGCTGTTCGGAAAGTCCTGGATGTGTCACATCTTGGCAACGGGAGCAAAAAGGAAATAACTCGTTGCGTCAGCGGCATTAAAATGTGTGACGACATCTGGGGTATGACTGATGATGCTTTAATCAGACAGATGATAAAATAGCAGCAGGAGATAGGAAAGAGTGACGTGGGTTCAGAGAAAAAATGACCTTAAAGTTAAATAAAACACAGTGACCTGCAGCAAACATTGGTATTCCAGTCTAACTTGGTACCCCTCCATCCATCCAGTCTGAAATTAAAATGGATTACATGTGGAATTTACATTCCTGAAGAGATGATCTCTTTGCTCGTGCTTGCATGCTGCTAAAATCATCAAGAGGCCCCATTGTGTGAGGCAGAGCTGTGGCGTTAAAACCTGGAAGTGATGACATATCCAAGCTCTTTCATGTCTCAAAGCCGGTTGACAGTGTTTGTGCAGCCTGCAAGTTGAAAACACCAGCAGCTGACCGCTGGAGTGCATCAAAATGGTAACAAGAGTTTGCAGAGGAAGTGAAAGTAGGTGCTTGGTTTTGTGTTTGTTGCTCTCGCACACAGAGACGTGACATTTATTTGAGCCCAAACACAGCCACGGTGCAGAGGGGGGCTTCCTGGGCCAGCCCTCCAGCAAGTGTAGGGAAATGGGTCACAACTTCACATGCGCGCTCGCTGCTGGCAGCAGCTCCTGGATGGAGGAGAATGTAGGGCAGCAAGGCACCGATTCTGACGGTTTGTCCCATTCACGTGTGGCCTCGGAGCGGAGTCGCTGTTTTGCACGCAGTCAAATAAAGCTTCAAACTCTTCTGGGTCAGTTCCACTCAAAGTAAAATCATTCACGTCCCTTACACGGCCTTGGTTGTGCGTCAGTCTGCTCTTTGCTTTGTGTAATCTAAATGTCCAAACACAGCACTTGTGTTAAATGTGATGTGAGCATCATCCATCATTTATGCCTCGCTGTGTGACACAACGCTTTAAACTCAGCTCTCCTGTGTCTCTGCTTTGTGCAGATATCCGTTGTCCTTTCTGCTCGAAGCCTTTCCCCGGGGGTCGGATCGAGGATCACCTGTTGAGCTGCCTCACGTCTCCTCCCCTACCTTACAATAGTAAGTATCACACCACAGTAACACACCAGTTGCCGTGTGATTGATTTATGTATTTTTAAAAGCTGGAAACACTCATGGTTGCTTTGTGTGTTTGTGTTTACAGCGGATGTGCTAAGTAAAGACAGTGGAGAGTGCTCCATCTGTTTGGAGGATCTGGTACAGGGAGAGACCATCGCCAGGCTGGCTTGCCTCTGCGTCTACCATAAGAGGTAACAGCTCAGTTCACATTACCATAAACCAGTCAGACAGAAAAACACACAGTTCTTTAACATGTTCTTTTAGTCATGCAAAGAAGAACATGAACACGTGTTCTTTGCTCTGCACACGGTGGGCGAATGTTTTCAGCTCAGATGAGATTTCTTGATATGAGAAAGTGTGTTAACCAGGTTAAGGTAGAAAAACAAGAAAGTTGTTTTGCTCCGTTTCACATATCGGAAAAGAGACCTGTTGTTCTTTTCTATGATAAAAATGTTCTCAAATGTTTTCATAATATCCACTAAGAAGGCTCCGTCATTGAGGTTCATTCTGTGAAACATTAGATAACGCAGATAAGTGTGGAAAACTGTTCACTTTATGTAGCAGATGAAAAGACAGTTTGCTTGTGTTTCTGTCCTTGTATCATATTTTCAAGTAAATGATGTGAATATTTTACAAACACAGATTTCACAACTGTGAACTTTTTTTGTTTGTTGCCGTTCTGTTCTTTCGCAACTGTGAGAACAGCCGCATCATTTATTAAGGGGAGTCTCAAAGAGTTTCCCAGCCTCAGCTTGGAAAAATAAATTACCATTGAGTTGTTAAAGGACCACAGGTGTTTATACATGTTTCAGCCCATTTATTATACATGCAAGTCATTCTCATTTTGAAAGCATGCTGTATACTGCGTTCAGCACTTTTGGGTTTTCCCAACTTCTGAACAACTTTTTCTTTTCCCGCAATTGTAGTTCAGTCCCTGCTGAGAAGCGCAGATTAATTAAAAAACCCATCAGTTCCACACAATAACAACTTTACTCTGACAGTGTCACGTTTAACTGTGATGGATAACCAGCAGAGAGACAGTGGAAGCTTAGGACAAATCAAATTGCCGCTTAAGTTGATTTTTGGGAAAACCAACCCTCCCAACACGTCAGTCTTTTCCTTTTCACCAGCTGCATGTTGTCAGGTCTTGTAGCACGGTTTTTAGGTTTGTCCTTTTAACATTCTGATCCATCCAGTTGAGCAACACGGATTTGGAGAAGCTCAGGAATTTCAGAGACAAAACAGTGACGGTTAAAAATAATTGCAAACTGTGATAGTCTCTGAAAATACCAAGACGGCAACACAGTCACAGTTTAGAAGCTGCAACTTGTGAATGACTAGTTTGTTTGATTTAAAATGTTGGCCAGCTATTTGTTAAACCAGTGGTTTCATTTCTACATGAGTATTTAAACCGTAAACATGTTCACAGCTCATTTTAATGATTAAATTTAGTGTTACTTCATATTGTCAGTAAGTGGATCCATCCTGGTGGGAGGCGCCACAAGCTAAAATCTACCACTGAGGTTTTCACATATTAATTAACATGAATCAAAATAAATCATCATCTTTATCTCTGGTCTTTCTCCCTGCAGCTGCATTGATTCCTGGTCCAAAGTGAAGCCCTGCTGCCCCGAGCATCCCTTCGATTGACTCCCGGGTCACATGTTCCTGCACAGTGACCAACCCGACTCAGGTACGCACACGTCAGACTGACCGAGAGACAACTGTGCTGTTGTAGACGAAGCGCAGTAGCACATGTGCCATGGTTGTGAATAAAAAGTTGCTGTAACATAAACTAGAATCTTGGAGTCAATCAGCATAAAAAAACATGGACGTTATCATCATTTCTTTTGACATAAGTCAAATTGTAAATATCTATTGCTCATATTACAGAATCCTTCATCTAATGATTTTTATACTGTTTCCTATTTTTATATTTATGCTTTACACAAACACGTCACAGCAGATCCTTCGCATGTGTAAACCTGCCTGGCAACAACAATGGCTCTTTGTATTTTTAGATGTCCCACTATGAGAAAAGATGAAAATAAAATGTCTGAACACAAAAATCTGTAGAACTTGAAGAACAATGAAAGAGTCTCAAATGTTCATTAAAGTAAGTGACGTACGTCCACTGCAAACGCATCATTCAGATGTGAGCTGCTGTGTCAAGTGGTACTGTATCCATAGCAACAGGTTTTATATTCCCTGAGGAAGGTGTACAGTGAACACCAAAGCGTTATGATCTGTTTATACTATTTCACGACTGAGCAACACACTAGAGTTACTAGAGCCGCAACTAACACTATGTTTCAGTACATTCTTTACAATATGCAGCACTTTGTCTAATCATCTCTCTCTTCCCTTTTCTTCCTTTACAGGAGACTACACTGAATCCTAATTAAATCCCAATAAAGATGTGTAATTGAATACTAAAAGCCCCCAGTCCCTCTCAGACACAAACCCATATTTGAGTGGAAAACAGAAGATCACAGCAGGAAGCTACAGTGCGTCACACACGATGCTCTCCATTCGGATCAGTCCATTTGAACTTGGTCTAGACCATTTCAAGCCAAACTCCAACAACAAAAAAGAAAAACAGCTGCACTGTCTAACCTGTGGACCCTTGTTGAAACAGAAGTGGAGGGGTTCCTTTTTTATTTCACGGACTCGGCTTGACTCTTACTTTAAAAAAAAAAACTAAAAAACATCAACTCCATGATATCCCACCAGAATGACGGAACGTGCCCCAGACAGATCTTGAACTTGGAGGAGGAACATGGAGAAAAACAAGCTTTTCTGACTGTGACTGGACGCTCCTGTGTATTTTTCTCCCTCCGAATGGGATCAGTCATTTTATCAAGTATTTTGCAAAAAGAGTATTGTTCCACGTCGTACATCCGATGAATGTTATCTTTCCTCGGCTCAACCCAAATGAACCAACCTCACACTGAAAGCGTGAACTGTTTAACCACATAAACATTGCTTTATTTTCAACCAGCTGGAGGTTGAGGGCTTGTTTTTGGTGAATGGGTGCTGCCGTTTACTTGGTGTTATCTGTTTTCTATTACCTGTAAACATTTCAGGGGAATTTTCGGGGGCTAAATGTTTTTCCTCTTTTTTATTTTTTATTTTTTCCTCAGTAGGTCAGTTTCTCGTAGGTGGTTGGTAAGCGCTGAGTTTAACGTGCTGCTACTTGGTGAGTGTTTGGAAGGTTGTGGGAGTTCCATAGGGTCATAGCAGCGCTGGTGTTGGCACCAATTTGAGCACTTTTGTCCCTCAAGGCTGTTTTTTATTTTTTTATTTTTTTTTATTTCCCCCACATAAGGTCTGGGTAGTGAGTGTGTGAATACGTCTGTGTGTTAAAATGATGACCAGGGACAGGAAATGTCCTGAGAATGTTTGTGTATTCAAGAGTGTGTGTGTGTGTGTGTGTGTGTGTGTGTTTGTTTACTGTAAACTGCCCAGAAGTCTGCTTGGTGAAGCGGGTTAACCCTTTTAAATTTTAAAGCTTTTTCATTTTTCTATGAGTCACGCCGGCGAACATCCTGTTACATGTGGCATTGGTACGAACTGTGGGTGACTCTCGCGGTCCTGTTCTACTTCTGAAAGCGGTCTGGAGTGTTTTGTCTTCCCTCCTCGTTCTCTCGGGGCCGCAGTCCGGATTGTTATTTGGACTGGACCCCAAGTGACAGTTTTGCCATCTGGCTCCATTAAAGCCAGATTGAGGGAGGGATGAAAGTGACGGGTTGAGGGATGTATTTTTGGGGCATGTTTACACCATGTGGCATCTGCCTCTCTCCCCGACACTGCAGGCTACGGACAGCTGATGGTTAATAATTACGTAACCCCCACCCCGCCTATTTTTTAAGTTTTTTAAATATGATATCATCACATTAGGATCATGATTACTGCTTAACGTGTTCGAGGGCTTTCCTTTGCCTTGTTTTGTGTGTGTTGATTGCCTTTGCCTGGTGACGGACTTCTTGTGCAAGCAGGTTTTTGTAGTGTTTTCGTGACCCGGCTGAGGCGGAGGCCCAACAATAAGGCTGCTCGACAGATGCAGGTCGAGCGCGGGCCGAGGGAAACTGGGAAAGAACAAAAATTGATTGCTGTGGCTGCCTGCTCAAAGGGCGAGTCTGCGCCATGTGTCCTGGTCTTTCCTGCAGCGAGCATTGATCAGTTTCGAGGTCAGCCCGGTGCACAGGCTTCCCACTGGCTGCTTTATTTGCCCAAGTTTGTTTTTCTTTCTTCTCTGATCCCTGGTGTTCTGCAGACTGAGGTGCTACGACTCGTCCCGCCACTCGAGGGCAGCCCCGTGCATGTTTGCTCTCTTTATTTTGTATCAGAGACTAGAAAAATGATGCCAAAAGTGTGTCTGTGCAATGAGGGCATTGTGTGAGCGAGTGCGGAGGATGAGGTGTATTGATCATTAGATGTTACATTTGTTGTGGTGATAAGTTATGATGTTGTATACTTTGGCTGGGAGGGGAGGGGGTGTTTGTGTGTGTGTGTGTGTGTTTTTGGGAGACGGGGGTGGGGGGTGGGTGGTGGTTTGGTTGTCGATTATATTGAAGAAAAAAATAACGGACAATCTGATACCCCACGTTACTCTCATTTACTTTCTTACCCCCTTGAAGCTGTGTGGTGCAATACCTCAATTTTTACCAATGCTAAACTAAACGCTCTGTGTGTAAACCAGCTCCTCGCCAATCAAGGATGGTGTTTTGTATAGATGTCGCTAAACTCCTCGGTTCTAAATCACAGGGCGCCGACCTCCCGCCCGCCCGCCCGCCCCATGTCCGCCCTGTGCTTTGAGACCAACGCTTTAGACGACGAGAATGTTTTTTCAAAGAGCCACCACAGCAGTATCTGCATCCCCTGAGATATGGACAATCTGCCTTTTACTCTGGTATTAAAAACAAATTGAATTTTATTTATTAAATTGTAAATATGTAATGCAATTCAAGAAAAATGGCTTGGTCTTTGTCTGTTCAATATACTGTTTCTAAGCTCCAATCTTTTGTATGTCTCAGAAATGGTTTTTATATGTATTTTTTACAATAAATATGTGTGAGAGATGTTTTGTGAACGTCTGTTCTGTGTCAGTGACGTGTTTGTGGTCGTACTTGTCGTTCAGACCCTGAAGCAACAAGAATCTTATTGCAATGGGGGAATTTAAATGACACAAATTACACTGTGCGGTATCGAGTTATCACACAAATGTTATTAAATTATTTTATTTCAGTTGTAACTTATTTAATTTAGTAGTTGACAAATGGCACTTAATCTTAAACTATCTTGGATCTGCCTCCTGATATGGATCCACACCAAATGTATGGCTTTTCTTTAATGTGTTTAAAGTTTTTGTTTAATCCAACTAACTAAACACCCATGAAATCATAATGATCCCTGACAGAAGTGAAGATTTGACTTTTTATTGTCCAGATAGTTGGATTGTGTTTGTGGATTCCTGTAAGTCCTCAGCCTCCAGTTTATCTTCCTCTGACCAGGTCTGCGGTAAAAGTGGAAATTTTTTGTTTCCAAACTCACAGGCTTTTTTTTTTTTTTTTTTTCTCACACAATCAGGAAGTGAAAAGTTGAACCACAAACTGATAATATAAATAACACACCAGTCCTTATTGCCTCCTTACACAACCTGACACAACTGTGATCCAGCAGATAAGGTAAGATCATTCTCATCATAGAACTAAAACACGTAATAACAAATATCCCACTTTTATGAACCAACCTCACACTGAAAGCGTGAACTGTTTAACATTGCTTTATTTTCAACCAGCTGGAGGTTGAGGGCTTGTTTTTGGTGAATGGGTGCTGCTGTTTACTTGGTGTTATCTGTTTTCTATTACCTGTAAACATTTCAGGGGAATTTTCGGGGGCTAAAGTTTTTTTTAAAAACTTTATTTCCTTTCCTTCTGAAAGCGGTCTTGAGTGTTTCATCTTCCCTCCTCGTTCTCTCTGGGCCGCAGTCCGGATTGTTTTTTTGGACTGGACCCCAAGTGACAGTTTTGCCAGTTTTTCCTCGTATAATTCAACACGACAGATTATTTTTTCAATCTTATCCAATTTTATCTGCTCATCCAGTTGCTGTAGTTATGAAGTTTTAAGATCTCTGGCAGTGGATTAGAAACAACTGTGTAAAAATAAAAAAAAAAGGCATTGTAACCTATTGAATTTAGCATTTTACTAACAAAACTTTTTATTTTATTTTAACTTTATATTTCAGGAGCTCACATTTAAGGCTCTTATTCCTTCTTGAATCTAATCAAACTGAATAATACATCAGATGTTTGCGTGTGTTTGTGATGTGGGTGAACTGAAAGTAACAATGGAATTTTTAAAACTCATAAATTCAGGAGGTTGTGACTAATAAAATCTAGACAAGGAAACAAGTCTCTACCTCAGCAGGTCGACACAACATCTCTGAAATGTCCAAAAGCAAAATACTAAATAAGATGTTTTAATTCAACATATTTTATAATCATGGTGCAGAGTGACGTTAGAAAACTTTGTGTTCATCCTACCTGGTTTATCTGTGGTAAAGACTTTAAAGTAAATGTTTTATTCTTTTTTATCCATACATTGCATTTGGCTTATTCAGCATTCTGTTAAATAACCGACACAATCCTCACACCCAAATTGACAACTTTTCAAAATAAAAGTAATTCTGCTCAGGTTAAAGCATTGCAACAACGAAACAAAAAATGTGCTTTTACTTTTGACAAATTGCCAAATAGAGATTAGACTTGGCTGAAGACACACTACCCCGCCCCCACTGACTGCGACAGAGCTCTTGTTTGTTAATTTTTTCATTAATACTGAAGGTATCACAAGTTCAAATCAAACCAAACTCAATAGTGCACTTCCTCAGGCGACTAACAACACACACGCCAAGTGCGAAGCCGATTAATTGAACCGACTGTGAGATTTGTGTTCCACAGACAGATGTTTAAATAGTCGGTAGATGCACCTTGTATGTGATGTCATGTGAAAGTGTTTCACATGAACTGTTTGCTGAGAACAGAAGTGTCCCCACGAGTCCAGTTTTATTTCCTAATACTACCTCTGCTCGAGCAACAGGTCTGTTGTAAGTCTGGTTGAGCTTGAAAAATCTGAGCTGATGTAACCAACCATGAACTGATGGAGTTTCTGAATTTACAACAGTTCTCCATCTCGACAGTATGAACCACAGAATCTACCAACCTCACATTGTTTCATCAACACAGGCTGAAATTGACCAGATAATGAGACAGTTAAACAAGTGACAGTCAATTTATCAGCCACCACCAGGATAATCAATCATCAGGTGAGTTTTTAAATATTCTCAGGGACTTATCTGCTGTCCTTTGTATTATATCGTGAGAAAATTAAATCTTTTGGGTGTTTTTCATGTGAATTTGTTTGACTTTGTTGTTCTGAGATAATGTATAATTTTCTTGAGTCTTATTTTATTTAGAACTTGTTTTTTTATTTGCTTCTCCCTTTATTTTTCTACTCTTTCTTCTCTTCCGTGTTTATTGTAATGAACCAAAAACAGCAAAGCAATCTCCTCCTGTGTGAAAACCTTGATTCTGAAATGACCGTCGTGTTTGGACCCCAGGTTCCTCCACAATGTCCGACTCATCAGACCCCATCGCGTCCAAAGAGACGCAGGACGCCCCCGTCTCTGAGATGTCTTCATCTCCACCTCCGTACTCCTACCAACAGCAGCCACCTCCGGCCTACTCCACAGTCCCAGCTATGTACTGTCCAACCAAAACTGAGACGGCCTGCACCGATCAGCCTGCTGCGTACGAGTCGTTCCATGACATTTGCCCTGAAACCCAGTCGGACACGACTCCCCCCGTAGCCTCGAGTTCTTTTGACGACAAGACGGTGAGGAGAGGGTTTGTGAGAAAGGTGAGTTTTTAAGCTACTGATTAAAACCTGAAGGATTTAAATATAATTAACAGATGCTTTCAAGATGATATTTGCTGTAATAAATCATTCTTATTTCGACAGAACAGTAAAACGACCAATGCCAGACACTATGTTGGTTTCACTTCCATTAACTCTGAATGATTCTTATTCTGATAACTCATTACTCATTTTTCGATCAGTTTGCTTTTTAAATGCTGATGTTTTGATAAAGCTCCCCTTCATTCTTTTGTCTTGTCCCTGTGCAGGTGTTCTGCATCGTGACTCTGCAGCTGCTCTTCACCTTCAGTGTGGTGTGTGTGTTCACCTTCTCCAGCACGGTCCAAAAGGCCGTGCATGACGACATATGGGTCTTCGTCAGCTCCATCATCATCTTCGCCGTGGTCACCGTCTCCCTCGCCCTCTGTAAATCCTTCCGTCGTCTTTACCCTTGGAACGTCGTGGGACTGGTGAGTCAGAAACACAATTTTATTCTGACGTTCTCATCGTTATAAACATTTCATCCTCCTTTGTTGTCAGTTTTTCTATCGATAATTTTAAATCTAATTTAAAGTCCTACATTTCATTCTTGTTTTAACTTTGTCTCTTGACTCATTGTCTCATGTTCATTATTATAACTTTTTAACTTTTATCTTATCTTCTGTGAATCTTACTACACTTTCTTTTGCATTTATGTTTAATTCTACTTTCTATTTACACTTTTATCCATACTCCAACTCCTGCTGTTTTTAATGCGCACACAACAAATATCTAACGAGCAGTAATCCCCATATTTCATGTTTATAACTGAAACAATGAAAGTTTAAAAGGTAAAAATGATCTTGAATGTGAAACAAAGTCACATCCTGGAAAGAGAAGTGAAATATGTTGGGTGAGCTGCTGCCACAGATAAATGTTGCTGAATAAACATCTCTTTACTCAACAACCACGCAAGTAGTTTGGTCCTTATGTCATCTGCTAACATGGAGGAGGCAGGATTTATGACCTATGCTGCAGTCCTCCACTAGGCGGGGGGCTGTCATCTTTATTTCCAGACTACATAAACCTCTCTTGGCATGTGACACCACTTGTTCTAGTTCGGTTTCCATCTGAGTTCTCATTGAGCCGCTGAGGTTTTGTTGGGATGTTGAAGTAGAAGAGTCTCTTCCTGTTTGGTTGCTCTGCAGAGCTTCCGAGAACAAACCCACCAACAAAACTAAAAACATCTTGTTCCAACAGGTTGTGGTCACCCTGAGCTTTTCATACATGGTGGGAACCCTCGCCTCGTTGTACGAGACCACTGCCGTGGTCGTCACGATGGGAGTGACGCTGGCGGTTACTGTTGCAATCATCGCTTTCTCAGCACAGGTTAGTCAAGCTGGCTCAGCCGAGGAGCTGCTTCGAAATGTACCTGTGGTTGAAATTAAAATAAATGAAATTGTGTTTTATTTTCAGACCCGTTATGATTTCACCACTTGTTATGGTATGCTGCTGATGCTGTCTGTCAACCTGGTCATTTTTGGATTCTTCTCCATCTTCTATTACTCCGACATCGCTAATATCGCCTACGGATGTCTGGGAGCTCTGCTGTATTCAATGGTACGGGAAACACAAAAAATACAATATATGATTCTGATACAACTATCTAAAGGGATGATGCACAAACAAGACTCACGCAGGATGAACACATTCATAAAAAGTACTTTTGCTCTAGATTATTTATTTAGGAAGCAGTTCTGGGTTTGTAGGTTTCATACAGTCCCAACATCACTCAGGTAGCGGAGCCTGTAAACAGTCTGAGGTTTAAAGCTCAGAGCACAAAGCAATAACTGAAGGTAACTCAGAATGTGAGTTTTCCTTTAATACAAAACTTACTTGCAACATAATTAGCGCGGTATTACTTCTTTTTCCGCAAGTACAGGATCTGAATACTTGTACCTCTATGAGCCAGTGTGCTCAAAACCAGGATCCTGAACCTGAAGCAGCAAAATTGAAATTCGGCCGTTGTCAATCGTTTTCCTTCTGTGACATGTTAAAATGTCTCTCACCCTGCGTCTCCTCCTCCTCCTCCTCCTCCTCCTTCTGCCGGCCTCAGTTTCTCATAATCGACTGTCAGCTGATGATGGGGGCGATGAGCTACCGCCTGGATCCCGAAGAATACATCAACGCTGCTCTCAACATCTACCTCGACATAATCCTCATCTTCCTCTTCCTACTGGGGAGGAGGTGAAACTGAACAAGCCACAAACATGTAGACACACACACGTAGACACACACACGTAGACACACACACGTAGACACACACACACACACACACACACAAACACACACACACTCCAAACAACATGAAAATGTATTTTATTTTTATTGTAATGATTAAAACGGAACCACATCCAGTTTGAATGATGATCTTTGTTTTTACAGATTCTTTTTGTATAATTTTTACATAAATAAAAAAAATTTGGGGACTGAATTCATCGTTTACACAAATGTTATAACATTAATAAGACACATTGGTAAAAACAATATTCAGTGACATGCAATTCAACTTCTAAGGATGTTCATAGATAGCGCTAAATATTATTATTATATTGGTGGTTCTATATTTTGACTTGTTGACTCACATCAGAAAACATGAAAAATGCCAGTTGTATATTCTCTTAGAACAAATTGATGTGTTGGAATTGTTTTATGTGACAAACAGTTTTAATAAATTCAGTTTAACATCAGATACTAAAAAAAAAAAAACATTTGAGAAGCTTCAAACTCTCCCCACCCACAAAGAATGACTTTGTTTTCAGACATGAACTCTAGAAAATGTCCAAGGTTTTCCTCTCACCCCCTGAACCTTAAACGTCAAGACTCTCGGTGCTCGTCTTTCCAAGTTGATGTTTTCGTCTGCGTCTTCAACATCTTGTTTTTTTCTCTTCATGTACATTCGCATTGTTTTAGTTTTTTACATGGAAAACGTCTGGAGTTCAGCACATGTCTGAAAGCAGCTCAAGTAACATACCATCCTGATACACGGTTTTCTTACAGCCTCACCACAGTGAAGAATAGTTGAACTGGATCCGCAGCAGGTATCTCATGCGGGTCTGAGCAGGGTTGTAGACGATGAACTCGTTGTAGAGGAGGGAGTAAGCGCCGTTTTTACCCACCCCCGTCTTTACTCCAGGTCCCATCGGCACTGTGACCCCGTCCCTGAGAGGGAGAGAGGTGGATATATTCTCACTCTGATGGTTGGATCACATCATCAACACTTTGAACGATCGTAAACTTCAGCATAACTTCTTTCAAAACACGTTTCTTAACAGATTTTCGATTTTTCAGTCATTTCTTTGAGCACAAACCTGAAGTTTTAACTTTAAAGTAATCGGTGCCTAAATTCTGGAAAATTTTAATAGTTTATTATTGAAGGTAACAACAACAACAACTTTTTATAGTACTGACTACTCCTGAAATAAAACTGACTAAAACGTGAGCTTGTGTCTCATAACAAACAAACATTATACAAATTATAAACGTTTCATCTTAAATCTTTTCTTTTCATTCACGTCTTTTATTTGTTAATGTAATTAACAAACCCCCCCTCGGATAAATGTAAAGATTTGTGTTGTGTAACACGGTTAAATCAATGTCCGGCCTGTATGAAATGAATGAGTGCTGTGAGACGGACTCACAGGGTGACTGAGTTTTTGGGGTCAGGTCCGGTCTGTCCCAGGCCCTTGGTGCTGTGTTTTCCAGCCGGCAGATTACTGGCCTCGTAGTCGGCATCAAGCAGCTCATGACAGTCTCCCAGCGCGACCTGCGGCCACGCACACACACACACACACAAAGCATGGACAGTGATGCAACACATCTGGACCGGGCTCATCATGTGATGGTAAAAAACCATGTTGGCTTTATTGGGAAACAAGTGATGAGGAGCAGATGTGAGACCTGGAAATAGAAAATCTGCTCTAAAAACAAGTTGTTAAGTTTGTTAAAAACAAGGCTATACAAAAATAGAACGTACAATCTTTAAACAGACAAAACGACCGCACAGAAAAAAACTACAAAATAAAACGATTCCTGTTTCCAGACATTAAGCTGCTCCTGGTCTAAACATGTGACGGGATGGGTGAGGGTGGCATGTGTAATCAGATTACTACATTTAACACAAAACAGAAAACATTCAGTCAACTCACCTCACACAGCAGCAACAGCCCAACGTGATTCTGCTGACTGGCGAAGCAGTAGTTGGCGCTCTTTGACGACATGTCAGCAAAGTAGATACCTTTACCAAACTGTAGATGAGAGACACAAGGAAGTGAAATTACTACTGAGGTAAAAAATATCACTGTGACGATTCTTTACAGTTTATAGACAGTGAGGTTATGTGTTATATTCTAAATACAAAGTATTAACAGTTCTCAGCCATTATACTGTTGCCAGGGACATATGACTTGATTATGTTTTTTTCCCCAGAATTCATTTAATATTGTGTATTTATTGAATCTTTTTTAGACGTTTTTGAGCAGCAGACTTGATTTTTGAGACAAATATAAATTAAGAATCCAGTGCAGGTATTTCTATCCATCCATCCATCCTACCATGTATCCAGTGGCTGGAGCTTCAGGTGGAGCCACTCGGAGCCCTTGACTGAGGATCCCGACCCAGTTAGACAGACGGGAACCGTGCCACAGCAGAGTCCTGGTAGACGAACGAGGATTTATTATTTTCAATTGCCACAACTTTCAGATTTTCAAGCAAATACAGAAGCTGTGTTTCTGCAAAACATCTGAGGCAAAAGAAGCCACTGCTGGTCTCTAACCCGTGTTACCTGTTGTGAAGCTGTGAGAGGAAGTTGTTGCTCTCTCCGTCTCTGTCCACTGAGAACATGTCAAGGACGGTCATGGTGTAGTCTTGATGGGTGGAGGCGTGAGTGGACTGCAGATATTTTTCTATAACCTTCAGAACAAAGAGTTGCTTGGTGCTTACAGGGATATAAACTCACACTAATTCTGACTGTACCTGTAACTTGTATAATGACAATAAAAGTATTGAAGACAAGAAAGAGTTGTCTTCTACAACAGATTCCTCTTCTCACCTGATGGCTGAAATGCAACTAAATTGGTTTTAGGTACTTTGTTCTCAACACACAGACCTTGAACTCATCACTGCGGCAGTCCAGAGGCTGTAGTTTGCACTGGAGGGAGCTGTACTGTCTGTCCAGAGGATGTTCGTCACCGTTCTCGCTGGACTGGACCATTTTCACGGCTATCTGGATGTCACTTAGTGCCTGAAAAGAAAAACAGAAATAACTTGTTCTATGTCATGGGCCAAACGAAACTGGAGTCACTGTTTTCAAGGAATTACTGGAGTGACCAGTACGAACAGTGGAATTAAAAAAATCTGTGTGTTTTTCCTTTGTCATGCGATGTTTGAAGTAGAAGACGAGCCCCGGGTAAAATCAGATATGACAATTAAAAGGCAATAAAATATACAACAAAGGTTAATTTAAACATGTTAATAAAGAATTTTACAATATGCATTTATTTTATTTATTTATAATCCCTTCACCTCCAGCAGTGCAATCTTTTCCTTCAGCTCCTCCTTCGTGTCGATCATCGGGGGAGTTTTCAACCTGCAGAATAGCGTCTTTTAATGATCGAAGATGGAGACAAATGAGAAACGCTTTGAAAGCCTTTAAATCTCTCATCATTCCGCGCTCCTCACCCAAAGTCGTGAGGGATGCGGGTGTAGAACTGGTTGCAGGCCTCCAGCAGTTCACGTCTGTTGCCCTTCCTCTTCAAACACGCCTCGATTCTCTGCAGCGCAGTGTAGCCCGCACGGATCTGCTCCGAGGTCAGTTTGCCTGTGGGTGTGGAAAGAAAAAAGGAAACACTGAATTGGAAGAATGAAGCAAGGAAAGGTTTGAAAACCACAGGATCAAGAGCTGAATTTACTCATGTTGTCACAACTTCAGCATAGAAGTAGATAAAATGTGGGAATGGAATTAGTACGAATATGTTATTGTTCATCTCCGTCAGACTCACCGAGAGGAGCTTTCCGGGTGTCAAACTTCATCTCCAGCACACACTCCTCCATGGCTTTAAGGTCACAGATGAGCTCGAGGAGAGACTGGATCTTCACGTCCAGCATGGAGCTCTTCTTCTTCTTGGGTACAGTGCTCACTGTGGTCTCCTCCTGCTACAGACAAACACATCGATGTCCATAAAACAGACTCCGTCTTCAATTCAATGGAGATTCCTGTCAGACTCACTAATTACAAAGATATCGAGGAGATGCAGAAGAATCGGTTTCTTTAAAACAAACCTTTTCGTTTGTGCTGTAGTCCATGAACACCATGTCGTACTTTCCAGCCACTTTCTCAAAAGCGGCCCGGTGTTCCCACTCGTTCTTGGTCTTATCCAAGAACTTTTTCTTGAAGATATCTTTGGCTTTCAGCAGATCTCCAGCACAGGGTGTCAGGCTGCTTTGACCCACTTTGCCCACTGAAGATACGAGAGAGACAAACACCCAAACAATCGTCAATTAAAAGGTAGGATTGGCAGATTCAGCCAGAATGACACGATTGGTTGTGAGAACAGCACACGTGTTCATTTCCTGGGTCAATACAAACATTTACATTGATCAGTGCATGGTGAACTCACCTCTGCCCCATCTCATCCACACGCTGTAAAGCTTGGAGCTGTCGTCCTGCAGCAGCTGGATCAGGTAATATTTGTTGTTGTTAAACTGGAGATTTGTCTGGAAAACAAGACGTGAAGCGTCGTAAAGTAAATGTTGCAGTAGGACCATCAGTATCAGAAACCATGGTGAGTTTAATGTTTTAATCAAGTGAACTTTTTGCTGCACAAGCTGAATGTAAGAAAAGTCCGTCCCAACATTTCAGGTTATCATTCTGAATCCATTCGGTTTTCAAACGCATTCAATCATTTTGAATATTTTACCTGATTTAACATCACGTCGTAAACATCATTTCCTTCACAGTAAACATGAGCCTGAAATAGAAAGTGAAGAATTTGTTATATTCAAGGGTCAATCTAACTATCGATCCATCTATCTATCGTTCAATCTATAAACTTTATAATAATGATCAACTTTACCTTTCCGAGTTTGGCTTTGCATTCAGAGTCCACTGGAGCTTTGCCTTTCATGACCACCGTCCTCGTGACCTCTGCACAACATCCACAGATCAGAAACAAAACATTCGTGACATCAAGTCACATCTGATATTAAGTGAAGGTAATTAATACCACGAAACGTGTACTTAATGTTTAACTTATACAACAGAAAGTATATGAAATTTACAGGTATGTTACCTTCATTTTTCATTTCTTCTTTGGGTGTTTTTTCAGTTTTTGTCTGACTCTTGCTTTGCGCCTTCCTCCTCTTAGGTGCAGGTTTCTCCTCCTCCTCCTCCTCCTCTTCCTCCTCTTTAACTTGAACTGTCATCCCATTGAGAGCAGTAGAGTCACTGGCTTCATTAACACTCTCTGGATAAAGGGATGACAGAATTAAAACTTAAATCATATTCACAAATTTCTGCTTTTCAGTTATAGGAAAATAATTACATTTTATATTTTATAAGCATTTCATGATCATCTTATTATGGCGACTACAGCCACAATCATATAAGTTCCAAGTTGATTAAAACTGATGAAATAAAAGTTAAAAAAAACTTTTTTCCACAACACATACACACCTGATTTAACTGTTTGAGAGCGAATCTTCCTCTTGTATTTTGTCACCGGATTAATCTGCACCATCTTCTTCAGGTCGACTTCGTAGGCCGTCCCAGATCCCAGAGCGAGACTGACGGAGGCTTCCCCCGAAGAGACGGCGGAGTTCAACAAGGCGCAGGCTGCAGGCGAATACTGCTCCCATTGACCCTCGTCACCCTTCCACTGCCACACTGATCACAAAGAGACAAGTTTGCATTTGCTTTATTAAACTAAAGCAGTTGATTGATGGATAAAACCCTCCAGACCCTTTTATTGATTGATAAATCTGAAGGGTTGTAAAATAATGTTGTTATATAACATTGTTTTACTGTTTGTGAAATTCATGTAAAGTACTTTGCTTTGTTCTGTAAAGTTCTGTATAAATAATCATATTACTATGATTATTATCATCAATAGGCATTTTACTGAAATACTGGACAATGGACCTGTTTGGGTCTGAACTCATTACATAATTTAAACCAAGTGAGAAGCTTACTTGAAAAATATCTCATGGGTGGAAACTATAAAATGTTCACATCCAAAAATTAGACTAGTTTGACTTTATATTTATCTTCTCAAGACATATTATATATATATATATATCTTATATCACATGATGTGTATGACTTTTATTATTATTTTTTATCTTTATCATTATTTCTTTACTCTAATTGTCTGTGAAGTAATTATTATTATTATTTTTAAATGGGGAAGAAGACAATAACGTGTGTGTGGTTTACTATGGTGGTATATTAAAAACTTATTAGGCTTTTATTTACTTCTATAAACTCTCAACCTTTTACTTCTTATCTTCTCCTCTTGTGATTGATTTTGCGGATTTGCCTCTAAATCTCTGAAGCTGAATGTTTGTAAGTAATCTTAATTCATTTTAAAGTTTAATTTGTATTCAAATTGTTTGGAAGTTGCTGAAACAATAAAGATCGACTGATGTATTGAAAAGTAAAAGGAGCAGATGTGGTAACTAACATAAAATAGATCAACAGAGTCAATCATGAGTTAGATTTGATGTTTGCGGTGATAAACTTGTAAACAGTAGCACGTGTTAGCATGTGTTGCTAGTCAGCGAGTAACACATCTGGATAACATCAGTCTGAGGAGAAAGTGGGTCGTCCACTAGCAGCCTCGTTAACAGAGCTACACAGGATCGATTCCCGGGCTCTGTCCGGACACGTCCCGGGTCCGGACAGAGCTGAAGGAGCTGAACTCCTCCGTCCTCAACAAACCTGTGTCTGTCCGGACTTCTCCGCCTTCCTCCGCGGCCTGACTCTGACTCCTCGACGCCCTGGTTCTCCTCATGGCGGCTGGGGGACGGGAGCTGGAGGACAGGAGCTGGAGGACAGAAGCTGGGGACAGGAGCAGGAGCTGGAGGACAGGAGCAGGAGCTGGAGGACAGACCACAGTCTATGGGACAGACACAAAGGAGCTGAGGGGAGAAGACAGGGGGGACTTCAAACTTTACCCGCCGCCGCTTCCCGGTCTGCGCCGCTGAAGATCGTGTAGCGCGCCGATGTATCACTCCGCGGTTAAACAGAGAAATCACACATTAAGGATTTAGCGTGCAGTTATAAACTTCTTGTATAAAATCTATGTTTCGAACATGTTTATTAAAACTGCGGATTTGATCTTAACATTGGTAAATTGAATCCCCCCGTGAGAACTAAGTGAAGTGTTAAGTTTGAAGGGGACACGAAAAATAAGCGTGGAGTGAGCGCCTTCACCTGCGGAACAGAAGTTGGGTGTTAAAGGGTTCCGCTTCAACCGGGGGTCGGAGTTATTTTGTTGAAGGAACCAGCCGAGCCCGGTGCTCCGTGCTCGTCCTCGTGTGGAATGAAAATCAAACAGTTTAAATATAAAACTATCATAAAAACAGAGCAGACACAGAAAACATGGCGTCGTGGAGCTGCAGGGTCCTGGGCCAGAGAGCTGGGGCGTTCAGGGTGAGTGTGGCTTGGTGTCATTGAACGCAGCATCTTCACCAGAGGTCAGACTGAGGAAGAGTTTAAAAACACGACTGAGAGAAATGAACTGTCCATTAAATGATTATTCTCACGCTCATCAATATATTTCTCTCTCTGAGTTTTGACTCCTCGTTTGAAATGTAGGCGAAGACTAAATCTGACTCTTTCTTGTTTGGTAATTATTTTCTGCATTTAAAAAAAACGTGTTATTTGTTGAATCGTGTGTTTATCTATTGAAGAGAGTCAGAAAATATTAAACATCAATAAACTCTTGTTCGATGGAGAGACAGCTGAATTGATTTTAAAAGCTTTACGAAGCTTTGACCTTCTGACTCCAAATCACATCATATATAACTTTTATCTTAGATAAATAAGATGCACTACTTTTTATTTGATTAGTTCTGATATTTTATATGAATTTTTGAAATCAAAAATTCACATATTTTCAATTGCTTAAATTACACTGACTCCAAATTGCTTTGTATAATAACGGCAGACGAACAGGACACGTGTGTTTCTGATATTGTATATATTATAAAAGTTTGTCATATGTGTTTTTCCTCATCGGATTTTAGTGCTTCAGTTACTTCATTTTAGTGATTCTGAAAGTTGGGTACTGTGAAGAGTTTAATGTTTATTGTTTTTTTCAATCCTCAGAGAATGTGCACGGCTGCACAGTCACAGTCCGAGGCAGATTTCCTAAAAGGAGAACTGCACAGGAAGCATCCAGGTGTGACCAACCTGAAAACTCTGAGCCTCCCTGAGGAACTCCAGAGGGCTGCGTGGTCGATTATTCAGAGTAGGTTCCATTATTATTTTTCCCTCCCAGTTGATATGCCAAATGTTTCTATCGCTTGACTTGTCCCGAAATGAAACTTCACCCGTAGGTGCTCAGGTGAATCGGCTGAACGAGCGCACGCACAGCTTCGCAAACTTCCTGTGGAGCAGAAAACGAGCCGTCGAGGACGTGACACTGAGACGGACAGCGGTGAGCCTGGAGAAGGAACTCTGGAAGAAAGCAGTGGAGAAGGGAGGAAGTGAGTCACACAGTGTAAACGTCTACAAAGGAAGGAGGGTGTGGAGGTATCTTAACTGTAAAGAGATCACGTGACGCAGCAGCTGGTGAAAGAGTGAACATGCTTTTATTTTACAGATATAGACGAGGAAGCGCTGGAAGACCGCATCCGGAGGAAAGTGTTCTCAGAGCTCAGGAGAACAACATATCACTGGAAGGCCTTAAAGTAACATGTTCATCTACAAGTATTTCTCTTGTCTTTTAATTTATAGTTTTTTTTAAATGACGGGTGTGTTCAGATTGACCCTGCCGGAGTCTGAGATGAAGATGAGTTTGTGTTCCGCTCACCCTCTGCCTGTGTTTCAGGTACGATGAAGAGTTGTGTGTCGTGTACCTGGCGGCCCGGCTGGCCGGGGGCTACGCTGCGGTGCGGAGAGCTCTGAATGAGGTATGAGCGAGTGGTGGGACTCTTAAGTTTACTCACATGATGATGTCAGAGCTTCAATTAAAGAGTTAGTTTGTTTTCCAACGTTCTGCCTCTGCATGTCTCAGAGTTTTTCTTTTTTTTCTGTCGATCCAGATCAAGAAGAGGGATTCCTCTTTTGCTCCTCAGTCTCTTCTGGATTTTGGTTCAGGGCTGGGAACAGTTGTCTGGTTCGTGTACAACGCTGCTGTAACATTAAGAGTTTTCACGTGAATTACATTTAAAAATAAATTCAGTCTTTCTCCTGCAGGGCGTCACACTCGCACTGGGCCGCCTCTCTGAAGGAGATGGTGTGTGTGGACAGCTCTGCTCCGATGAACATTCTGGCGGAACGACTTCTCAAAGGTTCACACAAACACACAGATCATGTGATTTGTCACAGTTTAGTTTGTGCGTTTGTCTGATCAATCAAAGCATCTTTGTGTTTTTCTGAGCAGGCGATGATGAACGGGCTCAACCTCACATCCAACATGTTTATTTCAGACAGTTCCTCCCCGTCTCTCCTAAGGTGAGACCCTCTACTTCCTTCTTCCCATATTTAATGTTTAGTGTTCAGTTAGGAGGAGCCCAACCATCCGATTGTGTTTATTTGATTTTTAATAAATAATACGAGATGAACCGTGTTGCTGTTGTGAAATTTGATTTATTGATTTTTCTAATTTCCTGTTTCTGCTGCGTTCCTACTTTCAGGTGCAGTTTGATTTGGTGGTCGCAGCTTTTACTCTGTCAGAGATTCCCGGGGTGAAGGAGCGAGAAGAGGCCGTGTTCACTCTGTGGAGAAAGACCAGCTCGTACCTGGTTGGTCAAGATAATGACGAAACTTCCCGATTAGATCACTTACACTTGCGACATGGTCAAAAACTGTGTCTGTCCCAAGAGTAAAAGTTCCTATTTGACAAATAAATGTTGATTTCAAAATGTATTTCAGTATCGTGGGATCTTTCTCATTTAACGATATTCATTTTTTTATTTTGCATTGTTTCTTCTAGGTGCTGGTGGAAAATGGGACCAAAGAGGGACATCAGATTCTTATGGAAGCCAGAGACACGTTATTAAAGGTTTCACTGTCTGACGTCCTCACCAGGGAATTAGTTTAGTGCTGATGTGTACATGATGGTGATTTTCTCTTCTCTATCGTCAGAAACAAGAGAAAATGGTCCATGACCCCAGACCAGCATCCGTGTTCGCCCCCGTAGGTTTGAATCCCAGCTGCTTTTAAAACACTTTCAGTGTCACAGACTTTATTGGATCATCTTCTCCATCATTTGGTTTTTCCAGTGTCCTCATGAACTGACGTGTCCTAAACTGGCCCGAGAGCTCGCCGTCCCCTGCAACTTCCAGCAGCTGTACCAACCTCTGCCTCTGCCCGGGGTGAGTCTAAACTCTGGATGGAATCATATTTGTACTTGTCCTGAAAGTTTATTTTTGACCCTCAGAAAATAAATGTTTGACAAACTGGTGATTCTTGATTTTTAAAGGTTTTTTATTAACTTGACTAATTTTATACTGATTAATACTTTTGGTGAAATTGTCAAATAATCAATATTAACTGAGCATAAGAGCATTTTTAGACTTAAAGAGGTTTGATTACAATAATCTTGTATCTGTTACTGACAGAAGGTAAAAAAATATGAAATTATATAATTTTCGAACACGTCCACCTCATTTTCCAGCACAACGTTCGTCAGATAGAGAAGTTCAGTTACCTGATTCTGACTCGCGGAGGTCCCCCGGAGGCAGAGACCGAAGGTGTGAACTGGGCTCGGCTGATCGCACCAGTTCTGCGACGGACGAGACACGTCCACTGTCAGATGTGTTCGCCCGACGGAAAACTGCATCACATGGTGGTGACGGCTCGAAAACACAGCAGGTGAAGTTACGGCATCACACGCGCTTTCAAACTCATTAGCAGCAGCATTGGTTTGCTCATTTTTTACTTGGGATTCAAAGTTTGGATTTAGTTTTTAGTTGTAAATTAAGATTTCAAGGTCTGTGATCGTGGGTTTTCTAGATCTTCCTGAATATCGTGTTTCTTCTTCCTTCAGAGATGTGTATCGCTGTGCTCGGAACAGCGACTGGGGAGATCAACTGCCGGTCATTCAGAGAGATGAAGACGATGTCCAGAGTGATTCAGAGTGAAGAATCAGCTTTTATACAAACATCTGCATTTCTATTGTGGGGGGGGGGGGCTGACTCTCTGAACAGCTACTGTGACATTATCAAGATAATATGAATAAAAAGTCATAGCTCTGTGCTGCTTATTAAGAGGTTGTTGCAATGTGGAGAAACATTCTCCTGCGTTTCTGTTCATGTTAATATCAGAGATTAATATAAACTGAAAGAATCTAAAAGAACCACTGATAATAAATTTTACTTTCTCTTACTTAAATTAAGGACTAGAATTATGAAGGAATAATTCCAGTTTGGTGCATAAAGTGATCAAGGAATGTGTTTTTTTCTGTGGTTTGTTTTGTTGTGGAAAATGAAGTTGTTCTGCTCTGTCTCGATCAATCGGACACAATCATAGCTGTTTTTAAAGATGTCTACTGTGACGGGCAAATCTGTAAGTTGTAAAACTTAATTCAAACATGTTGGAAGCAGTTATTTACTTTAGAACTGAAGAAAACGATTTACAGAAATGTGTCAACACATTTAATTTATCCAGAGTTTCTTTATATTTTGTCCATGTATGATACAGTAACCGTGAAGGGATTATTATAGACATAATTGTGTACATCTTCCAAAATCCCTTAACTCCCAACAATCTCCTTCAGGGCTGACGTCAAGTCTGGGTACTTGTACTGAAACCCCGCCTCTAACGTCCTCTGCGGGACGACCTTCTGTCCCTGCGTGAGGATGACGGCTCTTTCTGAGCCCATCAGACCGTTAATGACGAAGCCTGGTACAGGAAAAATGGTGGGTCGCCTCAGAAGCCGACCCAGTTCCTTAGTGAACTCGTAGTTGGTGTTCAGCGCGGGTGCGACTCCATTGAACACCTGTGTTGAGGGCGGGGGGGTGTCGGCGAGGGGCTCCAGGGAGTGGGCGATGATTCCCGCCAGGTCCGAGACGTGGATCCAAGGGAACGGTTGTCTTCCTGACCCCAGAGTTCCCCCGAGGCCGAGCCAGAAGGGCAGCAGCATTTGCTTCATGGCGCCACCATCGCGACCCAGCACTGCCCCTGGTGAAGGGAGGGGGGGGTGGGGGGATGGGATGTGATCATAAGAATAACTTTATTTGCACAGCACTTATTTTTTTCTTATGCTTTTAAATCGAAACACATTCCGACTGAGATTAATCACCAGGCCTGATGACGACTTGTCTGGTGGTTTTTGCCGCAGTCTCAGGAAGAAGCGCTGCGGCCTCCCACTCTTTGACGAGTTTGGAGAGGAGGTCAAACGGCGTCCACTCACTGTCTTCTGTATACTGACCTGTCAGACTGGGTTTGTAACAAGCTGCGGACAGAGATAAACAACAATTTGTGTGTCTGTGAGTCAGTTCGTCTAATCGGCCTCGTCCTGAGCAGCGGAGCTCGGTCATTAGACTCACCTACACCTGACACCAGCACCCAGGAGTGGGGGGGGGTGGGCGAGGCAGCTATCGCTTCAGCCAGAGCTTTGGTGGTATCGATGCGACTGGAGAACAAATCTTTTTTATAGCTTTCATTCCACCTGAAACCACAAATAAAACCAAATCAACAGGTTGAGAATGAGATCCTGGGTTACAGGGGGAAAATGCTTTTCTTCATCATATCCAGTTTACTTGTGATTATTTTTAATAGTAACTTTTGAGCTGAATATAACAGCAACTTTAAATAGGCCATTGTGGGATCTGATAATTATAATGTTCTGATGTTTAATAGACAATAGCTCTGACTAAAGATTGTCAGTTGTAGCCTCAGTTTATTTGCTGCTCACCATCTCAGTGGGTTCATGATATTCTCTCCAGCCAAGTTGACAGCGCCCTCACATGGTGGGAGGCCATGAGACTCCAGCTCACCCTGCAGGAGCACGGATGAGGAAAAATACACCAAATATAAAAATAAATAAATGAAATGAAATGATATAAAACAGAGAATGTACACAATATGCACCTTTCACTACAGATGGAAATATTAACGTTATTTAAGACAATACTGTTCAGCGGTATAGGATGATGAAGATATATACTGTGAAATTGAAACAGACGTTTACACATATCCAGGTGTGAATGAGAGGATTCAGGAGCTTCTGAACCAACTCCGCTCACTGTCATTCTAAATGAAACAAAGATCTTCACACCCATGTTATTTTTCCTGGACCAGGCTGGCGAGATATCAGTGTGACCTCATGACCTTTGTCTCTGAGCAGACGGGACAGCTCCCGGCCCACAAAGCCGGATCCTCCTCCTACGAACAGAAACACAATGACACAGAGTTATCAAAACATAATCTGTTTGTTTTATTTCCCTGCAGTGGTTTGAATTGTTAGCTCGACGCTTCAGACCTCAAACCAAATAAAAGATTTAAGTTCAATACTGCATCCTAGTGATCTGAGCCTTTTCACATTAAAATGACCAGATTATTATCTTAATAAATCCTCAGGTGTGTTAGGTTTGAGTTTTATTTATCTTTTACTTTTATTAGGTGGAAAACAGGTACAATCTTAAGTTGTTTTTTTTAGCATTTGCTGTCACATGTGATAAAATAAGATAATCCATTATGAGTCCCACAACAGGGACATTTACAGTTTTACAGCAACAAAGAGGACAGTCAAAAAAAAACACACATCGGAATTTAATACCTTAATGAAGGTTGCAATGGTCAGATTTAACAGGTTTGATTAAACTTTGGACATTTAGCAGCTTAGAGAGAAGTGTTCCTGTTATTTAACCGAACCTCATTAATTAAAAAGACAAACCTGCAGATTATAAAACATCTAAATTCAATGTGTTTTATATTGAAAGGGCAGCAGGGAGGCGAGGTCAGTGCGCATGCGCAGCAGACACGCTTACAAAACGGGACCTTGTGCGACTTTAACGAAACTTCTGCGCGTTTCGATGCTAAACCGGACGAACTCAGACTCACGCGCTCACGAGCGACGCGTTCGATTCCACGAAAACAGGACGAGCAAAACAAAACGTGCATAAAAGACACGCAGCTTCACTCCTGCTGCGTGCTAACAGTGGCTAACAGCTAGCTGGCAGTGTAGCACATCGCGTTGACCTTAAATACAGAAAACACAATATAATTAGTGACGTACCGATCAACACTCTCATGGTTCAGCTTCTCAGTCTCAGTCTGACCGAGCTGATCTGTCTGTGGGGGGGGTGGTCCGCGCTTTTTGGACCAACGCGGGCTCCGTACTTCAGCCGGAAGTGACGTCACTTTGTAGTTTACCGGGAGTTCTGTGTTTTGACATAACAGCTGTTTGTTTGATTACATTTAGTTAATGACGTCACTTTTGTTCAATTAGAGAACAGTGGTTTGTTTATTTGAAATGATTTGGTAAAATAAGAACTTTTATATGTTTGTATATATTTTCTTTTTCTTGTTTGTTGTTTGTTGATGCAAATTTAAAAATGTGACATCACTTGACAGCAGCATCAATGAGTAAAGAGTGACAGTGATAATAATAATAATAATAATAAGAAGAAGAATATCAAATGTATGAAAAGATGAAATATTGATAAGTTTTCATTAAATATCTTGTTTGTGATCACCACAAATCATTTTCTTACTTCATGAGCAAATGTACATTTTGCATTTCTACACTTTTCACAGAAATATTGTTACGCCCGGCCTACGGGCAACCTGAGCATAACATAAGCTGGCTTCCCTCTTTCCCCGCTCCCAAGTATGACCAGTGACTCAGCAGATTCCGCAGTCCAACACAAAGGTGATTTATTTTATCAGGTAGAAACAAAACGTCAGGATGAGCACAGCCGAAGAAACAAACAAAACCATCTACAACACCAAACGTTTTCTCTCTTCAACACCGTTTTTGATATTTTCACATATTTCCCAGGGAATAACTTTTGGATCTAGATGAAAAGAAATCTGACACATTTAGGGGCCTGATATTTACGAGTGTAATTTGTCAGTCAAGCTTCATTGTATTTAAAGGAGACTTTCTTCAGATGTCACTTCTCTGTTTTCATTGGAACTTCTTCATATGGAAAAATTAAACTACTATTCAATCTCCACTTATAGAATTTGAGTGAATTGTCCCTTTAACACCCCCCAAAACCTGAATGAGCAGTTCTCTCAAATATCCACTAGATGTCGGCAGAAAGCTGCGTTAACTTCAGCTTCTGTGCAGTGTGGACATTCCAAATGGCTTCAGGACAATTTTTTATAAACTGCTGAAAATGTTCCGATAAAACCAAAACCTGATGAAACTTGAACTTGAATGTGTCCTGGTGTCGCTGTCACTGAGTTTGTAAGTGTGTGATTGACCAGACTACACAGACCTGAGTATCAAGAGCGACACTAGAAACACTGTGATCCTCGACACAAAGATTTCCAGAGAAGAAAACTTGCAAACACTTTTATTACTCTAAGACTTGTCAAAGGAAAATAAATAGTCGGGTACAAATTCAAAAAGTTTTGAAATGTTGCAGTTAGGGGATCAGACGGCTGCAGCTGCTGAAAAGTTCAAACACTGAGGTGAAATAAATAACGTCTGAAAGGCAGGTTTGTTGAGTCTTTACATTAAGGCGGGTTCACTCTGCCGTCAGGAGAAGTTACGATCCGAAGCTGGATTTTTTTTTCTCCACAGGTGATGAAACAACCAGGAACTTCCTTCTCTCCGTCGTCGCTGAGTTGAGGCACTGTGAAGGCATCGGAATCTCTCTGGAGTTCACCACATCCGCCAAAAGTACAGATGTGGTCTTTTTCTACAGTTTGTGCGGCCCAGAGGCTGATTCCAGGTTTCAGACACTGTTACACTTCCATGTCTTTATTCCCCCCCCCCCCACCCATCAACCTGTGTTTGCAAAGTTTATTTTTCCCATCCGGTTAGCGTCTGTGGTAAATGGCAGTTTATTAGTGGTTAGGAGAGAATCGCTGGAACCCATCTGATTCCACAGAGATTGTCCACGCTGGCCGAGCGCTTCCTGGACGCTTTCCGCACGTCTTTGTACTTGTCGTCACAGAGCCGGGACATAGCCTGGACAGAAGAGGGGAGGAGTTTTTAATCAACTCAAATAAAACTGTTACAGACGCACATTTCAGTAATGAAAAGAAAAAAGGATTTGTGAGTATTAAGGTCACTGTGTGTATATTTTCACGAGTAGAAGCCCCTGACCTCCAGTTTGTGGGCCTTGTCCCTGCCGAGCGGCTCCAGGGGGAAGCTGAGGTTGTTGGACTCGGCGAGCGATCGCAGGTCAAAGTAATACTTGGCGTAGACACTGGACGGCACGTTGATGTTGAACTGCAGCAGCTCCAGAAACTGTCGCTCCAATTCATTCCTGTTCACAAGGAGGATTCACAAAGGTTCTGCGTCACCAGACCGAACCAGTGACTTTTAAAATAAAAACACACCCCAGCAGATACCGAATGTGAAGTCGTCCTCGTTTCATCTGATCCCGTCCTGAGATTCATACGCATTCATTTCAGAAAACCCATTTGTTTGTCTTCTATTCTGCATGTAAAACAAAATCTACAGGAAAACCATTTTATCCTTGTAAGAGATTCATCTTCTTGCTGATCCCTCCAAATCTAATCTGAATATGATTTCTAATCCTGCACTGAACTTAATGTCCCTCGCATTTCTTCATGAATTCCAGCCGCCTGTCACTCACATGTCCTCCACAGTGATATCCTTGAGGATCTGGCAGTAGTCCACGTTCCAGACAGCCTGGTCGTCCCAGACCTTGGACGCCAGCAGGATGGCGCCCAGAACAATCCTCTTCCAGTTCCCGGGGCCGATGTCGATCTCTGCGTAGGTCAGGAGCCTCTCCAGGTAAACCTACACACCGCCACACGGAAGAAGGAGATATCAGACATGGAAGTCAGGAATAAAAATGATCCAAAAAGACAAAGAAGAACAAAAACTTTTAAAAAAAGATCTCATAAGTTCTGGTAAAGGTTTCAACTCAGGAATCTTTTGGCATCGTGACCTACAATAAAGTGGATGAACTCATAATCTCTCCGTGGTGCCGTCAGGAGGAATAAATTCTGTTTCCTCTGTGACATCCTACATTCATCGCTGCTCTCGGAGTCTCAGCAACACTCGTGGACAGTGTGGGATTTTGGATGCACAGTCACATCATCAATTTATACACATCCCTGACTTGTCTCAATGCATCAGGTTCCCCTGCGGTCGAAGCTGTGCGCGCGTGTGTGTGTGCATGGTCCACAAAAATAACATAGGACGACGAGGGAGGGTAAGAATCTCACCAGTGTGACGATGGCGCACTCTGCGGTGAGCTGGGCGGAGCTAAACAACGTCCTGACGAAGCGGTAGATCTGCCTCTGCTCTGGGTCGTGTTGGCTGTAGTCGGGCGGTACCTCCGATTTCTGGGGGAAGGGAGGAGAGGAGTTAAAGAGAGGATGAAGGGAAGGTGCCATCACCGGGATGGAGGGGAGGAACGAGTGTAGGGTCGAGGAAGAAAAGGAAATTTGAGAAAAGTTGGAAGCAGAGGAAGAAATGAGATGGTGATAGGAGGAAGAGAAAGTTAGAGAAGATTGACACCAAAGAGGTAGAAAGAAAAGAAGAGACAAAATAAACACAAGAGGTAAAACAAAATCTAATTCCAGAAAATAAGACAGAAATAAGAGATTTAAAAAGCATTAGAACAATAACAATAACAAATTAGAATATAATATTCTATCAAACATGAAAAAAGAAAATGAAATGAGAAATCTTACTGAGAGAGGGTGAAGCTTTTCATCAAATATATCCAGCAGCATTCCTCCATCTGTGTCCCTGAACGAGACAGAGCAGTTCATTAAAACCTTTCAAAGCGAAGTCGACACTTATTGTTGAAACAGAATCACTGTGGAGACTAAAGTGGATAAAGTGTAAAATTCACTAATGCTCAGGAATCTTCTGTTATAATGAAAATATAACATTTTTATTAGAACTTATAAATAAAATCCATTACACAGGCCGGGTCACAATAAAAAATACACAGGAAATAATGCGAGCTCATTGTCAAGATGTTGAAACGACTCAGGATTCTCACCTGTTTTTTATATGGTAGTAAATCGCCAGAGCTACACTGAAAAGAGAAAAAAACATAAAGCGTTGATATGAATCAGGCAGATAAATGAATTTCTAATGTTGGTTGTTTGTTGGTTGTTGTCGCGTTCGAACCATTTGATTGTGTATTTGAGGTTGGGCTGGCTGACGGTGTTGTCGTCCAGGAAGATGGTGGAGCAGGAGCTGTATTTCCGCTTCAACGTTCCATGCTACACACACATACACACACAAACACACACACAGACAGACACACACACACACACACACACAGACACGCACGCACGCACACGGTGAGTGTTATTAGAGTGTACATGTTTTTGTCTGACCCACATAAAACACGTCAGGGAACGAGAATCGCCAGCATCAGACCTAAGAATCTGACGTCTTACAATTTTCATTCAAAATAACACAAAACAACAAATCTCTAGTGATTTCATGAGCTATTGATAAAGAAACATAGTTTGAAACAACGTGGATTAGATTAGTGAAACAGGAACAATCGCACACTCACATTATTGATGAAGAGGCTCTTTCGCTTTTCGTGCACTTTGGAAAAATAAAAAAAAAACACAGGCTTTTATCAATAAACGTCATTTTCTCTGCAGAAAGACGAACACTGAAGCCGGCACTTCTCAACCAGCTGCACACACGGTTCTCACCACGAAAAACAAGACTTGACAATGAAAAGCTTTCTGTTCTAATAATCTTATGAGCAGTGAGAGTTAATAAAGAGTCAGAGTTACAGCAGGGAGAAGAGAAAGGGCTTGAACACCACCAGAGAAAGACAAGCTCACACTCACCATTCCTGAAAGGCACCTCTGAAAAAAGAGGAACCAAAAAGCTTATTCTGTTTGCAGTCATTGATTCTCACAAAGTGACATCAGCAGAAAACGTTTCAGATATGAGGAACCATCACTCTGAGAACCCAGAGGAACCTTTGAGGGTTCCTCAACATGGAGGAACCATCTCAGTTTGAAAAGGCTCCAGGAGGAACCCCTGCAGGAGAGGTCTCCATTTTAAATCCATATTTACATTAATATTTATTATTATTATTATTCATCTATTCCTCTAATCCTCTGAGAGCTTCGGTGGCTTTAGCTGGAGCCAAATTATTGTGAAGATACTTTACATACTTGCTGGTAATATTAATTTACTCTTGGTTTGTTTTTTTCTATGGATTTGTCGACTTAAAAAAATTATAATAAAAAAGTGTAAAAACAATATAAGCTTTATTATTTAAAGCCACAAAGACACATGTGACAAAACAGCACACGACAATGTTAAGAAAAAAATAATTCATCTTTCGAATCATCATTTACATGTCAGACTCACACACGTGAACAAATTGTTGTTCCACTGATTAAACCCACTGATGCAAAACAATATCTAAAAATCCACATGTAGAAAATGTGAGGGATTAGATTTTACAGGAAAAAGCGTTTATCAGAATCGGTTTTCCTCAGTTTCGACATCACAAAGCCGGAGTTGTCTCCTTGTTTTCTCCTCAGGCCGTTAAGACAAACGCTGATCTTGTGCTGTGGTGATCACGGCTCCGAGACACATGTTAATATTTCCTGTGTCACAGTGTGACCCCCCCCCCTCCCCCTCCCCCCCCACCATCAGGCCATCGCATACATTTGCAAACATCCGAATAAACAACCAGCTCTGAGATCAGAGTCTCTACGTAACGAGTCTCTACAGAGAAAATCTCTTTACAGATCCTTATCATCTTCATTCCATTTGAGGATCTTGGTCCTTGTTCAGCGCGATGACTGATGTTAAATTAAAAACTAAACGTGACATGTTTTAAATAACGTGCTCATAAAAAAATACAACCAAAAAATAAATGCATCGATTAAATCCTTTGAATCAAAGGCACTAACCTTCATTCTGGGATTTGCTGAGGAATATGGTGCTGGCCCGCGGATGGTCCGACGGGTTGTACTCCATGTTTAACTCTGAAAACACACAAAGCACATGTGTCACTTTGTGAAGTGGCAACAACAGTGTGAGAGACACATGCATTAAATTAGCTATTAAAAAGTATATACAGGCAGATACAGCACGACACTGAACATAATGAAGGAAAGAGGATTGTTGAGGTTTGTTGACGGGCTTTTTTTAAAATCACAATGAATGAAGATGAAGACCGACGTTGAGTCTGACGCATATGAAGGAATATATCAGATTCCCACAATGACTTTTACTTCCTCTGCAATTCAAGATGAGGTGAAGCAGCCGAGTTGTTTTTGGTTCATCCACATGATTCACGCTTCCATTCAGAAGTAATCTGGACTTCATCATGGCACTGTGTGTGTGTGTGTGTGTGTGTGTGTGTGTGTGTGTGTGTGTGTGCGTGTGTGTGTGTGTGTGTGTATCTTCTAAAGCATGAGGGCAGCACTCTGAAAATATCACAGACAATAGTTGTTAATGAACTGAGGCTTCTTCTCATCCTAAACTCAAACAAACTAATTTCCCAAACTTTTTATTTCAAGGAAAAAAATCCAGGTGCTGATTTACGAGAGACATTTTTCAGATCAGTCACATGATCAGACTCCTACAAGATTAAGATCCAGGCTCATGTTAGCACGTTCTGTTTATGGATTCATTGAAACCCATGAACCGAAAGAGTAATTACATATATTCATGTCAATATATTTATAAAACAAATGGTTTCTCAGTTTGAAGTTTGTCTCACACGCTCTGTGAAGCACGTTTGATCGTTTAAAACATTTATGAATAAATCTGACTGGACCTGATCAAGGCCCGCCTGCTGGAATTTCCCAGAGTGCACAGCAGCTGGTGTCGAGTGTTGATACGCGATATTCACCACCTCAGGTAAACGTTAACGAAGACTCGTGCTCGTCATCTGCACGGTGAAACGGGAGAGGCCGGCACCTGTCTGCTCTTACATAATGAATTAACTCCAGGCGCACCCTGCTCTCAGCAGCCAACTCCAAAATCACTCTATTGTTTTTCCAACACGTTTATTTGTTCGCACTTTAAAAATGTTCTTGAACCATTTTGAACTCGTCACACATTCTTGTTTCCGACGTCCCAGTGTTTTACTCTGTGGCCTGAAGCACAAATGTGAGATTAGCAGTTTTTCTTGACAACAAATCAAACCCATCCATTAAATCCTGACTCTTCATCAAGAGGGGGGGGTCTCTTAAAGATACAGGAGGTAAAAAAAGTGTTTCAGACAGAAGCTGAAAAGAGGAGCTGCAGCAATGGACAGTTTGAGGAAAGTGATGTTTTCTGAACATTGGAGCATGAAAACATTTTTACAGTGATGACAAACATCAAAAATAGAAACCTGAGGATGAGCAGAATACGTCTCCTTTAAAAGATGATTCTCCTCCGCCTCTGAACGCAGCTTGACATCTACAATGTGCAGCCATATGAATGCTATCCACTGTTATTGTTGGAGTCTGTGGCAGCATGGACCCTGATTGGCTCTCGTCACTGTTCAGTCACGCACGTTAATCTCTGCTGGTTTCATATTAGAGGGGAGTTCGGTTTACTGTGAAATGTGCAAACATGTGGACAAACACACGCTGAGCTATAACCTGCTCGTGTTAATCTTTATTTTCATGTCCTCGGACAAACACTGGCCCCCGAGTGGAAGAGAGCGAGGTTAAACAAACACAACTAACCTGCGCACACATGCATACAGCCCCGTATTCCTGGAAGAGCAAGTTCCCATGTGCGAGCGAGCACACACACACACACGCACACACACACCTCCTCCTGCTGCTGCCACTATTACTAATATTACTACCACTAATTTGACAACTGTTTTAACTTGTTTGGCATCGTGAAGCACAGAGGAAGTCTTGTCTGTGAAAAGTGGAAAGTAGAAATCAACTTTATCAACTTTACTTTATTTGCGTTTGGCTGTAGGAACATTATTTTGTAAAGGCAGGAATAATTAAACGTAACAACAGTTTCAAATGAGGATTTCTGAATAGTCCGAGGTTTATATTCCGGTTTAAACTGGCTCCTCTTTAATCACTGCATTGATTAGGTTGTATTAATTAGTCCATCTCCCTGCTGGGAACCTCCTCATTATACGGAGTACGCAACTAATCAATTAGGCAAATGCAGGATTGATTGGTGAGAGATTGATTAAGGACGTGTTGTGTTCAGCTGCGGCAGCTACCTGCTTCAAGTGATGTGAGTCTGTTATTCAGGGATGAAACTTTCTACTCTAATAAACATGAAACCAAACTCAAAGTGTATTTACAACATTTTCTTCTACCTCTGGAGTTTTTATGAATCTGGATCATACAGACTGGACGTGGTATTTCCATCTGGTTTCATCAGATACTCCAGTTTTTCACTTCTGTATTGAAGAGAAGAGAAGCAGCGGCAGAGACGTATGAATGTAAGAACTGGGAACAGTGACGTCCATGAAAAATTTGCTTAACGCCTCCAGTTTTCGGTTTCTTTTCATGTGGGGAGCGAGAGTAAATATAGACGGATTACACACGAGCCGTGTAGGTAGATGTGAATAATGAGCGCAGTAAAACGCTGGGCGCTCAACCAGCGTTGACCCTGGTTGGGAGGAGGATCACAAGGCCGAGTCAGATGATGCAAATTCAGCTGTGTCAGTGTGACGCTGGTTTTCATCGGTTTCATAATGAGAACAGACTCTGTGCTGTAAGATCTGGTCCCTAATGATGTAAATCAGATCGTCTGCCGCGGCAGCTCAAAGCCAGCACGCCCCCTTCTGAAGTGGTAATTAGAAGGATGAGGTCCTGCTGACGACTGTGGAGTGAAATTAGAGTCTCATTACGAGTCAATGAATCAAATAAGGAGACTGAAAAACCAGATCCTCTGTGGTGCAATATATTACCAAGACAAGAAATAAGAAATTGCAAGTCGCAATTTATACAACAGAGTATTAGGACCATGTGGAAGAACAAATACTCAGAGATTTCGAGAAATAAATTACAAAAATAAAATCATATTACGAGAGTAAGGTTGTAATTTAATGAGAAAGACATAATATCATGGAAATAAAGTTGTGTTATTATGAAAAATTTGAAAAGCAAACATGAAATTACGACAATAAAGTCGTGATTTAATGAGAAATAGTCAAAATATTAAGTCGTAATATTGCAAGAATATAGATGTAATTTATTGAGAATAAAAGTTTTGATTTAACGAGAACAGGTCATAATAATTTGGATTTACAAGAAGAAAAGAAAAACTATTTTCAGGCAATAAGCAGCGAGGAGAACTGGTGCTCGCCAGTTTCTTTCTTCTGGATCCAAAATCTTGAGTCAATCTATTTTGTTTCTCGAGAAATTGTCAAATTTCTTTGAATATGATGAGACCAACGATAAAGAGACCGTTTCCTCCAGGTCTGTGTTTGTGGTTCTTTCTTCACAACAGACTCAGTTTCTTTCTCTTAATCTTTTCAGAGTCTCGATAATTATAATCACGTGGAGCTGATGAGACGAGTGTCTTGATCTTGGTGAAGCCTGAAGATGCTTCATCCCGACACGAAGACAGATTCATCTTCTGATCACGTCTCCTAAAATTCTGACTTTACTCTCACGTGATTTCCACTTTCTCATAATGTCACACTGTTTTCCCTTTAGGTTGCTGTAAGACTCGAAGATCTGCTCTGTCCCCGGTGAAACACATGACTGCTACTGCTGTTTTGAAAGTAGACGCTGGCCTGGATGTGGCTTGACAGTGACAAGAATTTTATGCATTGCGCTACTTCAGCAAAACCGTGTTGTATTGCTTTATTCTCCCCGGGCCAAACTTTCACATTGCTGTCATGGTTGAAAAACAACACGGTTAAGAAGATGTGTGATTCGATTTTTTTCATTGTTAAATATATTCACTGTGCTGCGAGTGCAGACATTTTGTTTTGTTTTCTCTGAGAGAACTGTATTTGTTTTCTTGAAGTCTCAGTGATTTAAAGGACTTTAAAAGCAGAAAAAATAAACTGCACCAGAAAAGAACATTACAAGGCAATGAAATCTGATCGATAATGTGCAACAGAGAGACAGAGGGACTTTGACGACTGCCTCTAACAGTCGTTGGAGTAAATTAAAAACGATCAAATCAAAACCAAACATAAACTCCGTGTTAGTGGATATCACACGTTTAGTCTCTCACTCAAACCACAGCAGAAGAGAATAAACAGAGACTCCAGCAGCGTTTTAAAGGAGTTTAAGTCGACATGCTGTACAAGATATATTTAATAATATGGAGCAGATCAACCCGACTTCCAACCAGCAGCGTCATCGTTCAGCTCAGGAATCAGTTTGAAAATAACATCGACGTTTGACCACAACACCCAAATGTTGCTGTAAAACATTAGAGGAGCCAGTTTCCTTCCAGTCTCACAGAACATGGACTGTACTTAAATTCAAGAGCATCAGCTGACACACGATGCCTCAGAAACAACACTCGTCTCAACAGGGAGACACAGTCGTCTTTGTCAAAGAGACGGACATCATATGATGGCTCTCTCTCTCTCTCTCTCTCTCTCTCTCGCTCCATCCATTGCCTCATTGTCGTACTCATTGGACTTTTAGAGCATCGCACATATAATGGGTAATTATTTGACTGAATAAATGAAAGTAAAAAAAGTAGAATGTGCAGTTTTGGGTTTTAGGGATACAACTTGTGAAAGAAAATACTCATCTTACAAAATAAAAACCAGCGTATTCATAAATCATTGAACGCAGCTTTGTTCCTATTCTGGAGTTTTGCTGCTACAGTCATTCTGGTATGAGCCTGAACTTATTGTGAATGAATGTTAGCAAACTTTAGATAGTTATCAGTGGGTAACTGAAGCTTTATTCAGACATTAACTACGAAGAATGTCCGCACCAAATTGTCCGTTCCTTTCGAATATGAAGAAAGCAGCGGGAGATTGTCAGCGTCTTCTCTTCTTCATCCCGGGACATTTGTTTTCTTCTAGTTTCGCACTCAAACCATCTAATCTGGAGTTTTTACTGTAATAAACTAAATGCTGTAACAGATCTATACAAGATCTTCACTAAAGCACCTGACTCATTTACACATGCTGACAAAAACCTGCGTCTCCAGAAAAAATAACTGCACCTGTGAGAGAATATGAGCCACGCAAAACTGCAAGAACCTTCATTTTCCCCAAACTAAGCTCTTTCCTGAAACTCTATCCAGCGGTTCAGCTGCGGACAGACTTCAAGGGCCTCAGTGAAATGAGGGTGTGATGAAGTGATTATCTGTTTGAAAAAAAGAAGGAGGGTGCTGGGGGGGGGGGGGG